CCAGTTTCTATATCTTGCCTGAATATTCACTAAAGAGTTAGAGTTAAACAGATTAAAAAAAAAAAAATCCACACCTGGCTGATAGCCCTCTTACCTAAGTGGCTTGCTGATACTGTGCCATTAGCTGCTCAGATTTTCAAAGCTGCCTGTTCATCTGTCTTACAAATAAAATACCCTTCATTTAGGTAGCTTCCATTATACAACAAAGATCACATCTGAGCTCTGCCACAGAATACCATCGTGTCCTGTATCTAATAACATTCCAGGAATGTTGATCTGTGTGTCACTCCAAAGCCTAAAATGTCTGAGTCCCGTGTGAAGTGGTGGAAGCTACAAGCATGGTTGAGAGTTTTCTTTTTTTTTTTTTTTTTTTTGCGTGTGTTCAGAATATCACCAGGTTGAATCATCACTGAATTTCATAGTCTGTTACCACCCAATTTTCAAGTTCTTGACCATTTTATCTTATGAATTACACTTGTGTGGCGTACAGTTGCAGTAAGGCCTGTACCAGGTAACTTTAATATGCAAAGCATCCTGGACCACTGTGATAGCGGTTAACCCCACGAAAGGCCGTTATTCTACAGCTAATTTGCATGCAACAGTCTCATTGGTTGTCAGAAGGAGACTGCATAAATGGTGAATTACTTTGCCCAACTGCCACACCCATGCACTCAGTTGCCACCTGCGCAAATCACCTAGATACAAATCAACACAACCACTTGCACAACACCACAAACAGCATATAAAAATTGCCCCTTTCAACAGCACACACCCCTCATTCACCACTCCCACAGATCTACACAACCAATGCACACAATTACCCCAAACACACAGACACAGCCCCTCACTGCAGCAGGCACTCCTCACTTGACATCCACACAACTCAATGCCTCTCCCATCACAACATACACATTCACCCTTACTCATACTTACCATAAAACGATAAACTTGAACAGCAAAACCATGGATCCATCACCAGTAATTTTATAATCTGTATTTATGTACTAAAGACACTGAACAAAGCAACAAGTGGGAATATGAAATAAAAAATTAACTAGTGAGTTCACATGTTAGTAATATACTTCAGTATTTTAACTCCATGGAGAAATTTTGCATACAGCACCAAAATTTTCTAAAAACAAAGCCAGTCTTATATCACTATTGTTGGTCAACCTGACATTTAATTAGAGTCCAAATTAATAAATGAAATCTTTATGGCTGAAGTTCACTTGCAGAAAAAGAGAATTTAAAATTTAAGTTGACCATGTCATAGGTTCAACCTGCTTAGTTATTTCAAGAATTCTGAGACTGTATTTAGACAGGAAGAGTTGCCTCGTGGCAGTGATGGACTGAGAATTGGGACCTCTGAATTCTACGGGCAAATAACTTAATCTTTCTACCTCAATTTCACAGTCTATAAAAAGGGTATAATAATTAATTTACAGAAGTATGTTACGGCTCATTGTTTATAAAAGTGTTTTGAGGTTTTCAGTTGAATAATGGCACAGTAAAGAATGTTACAGTAAAGCATGTGCTAAAACACTGAAGGGGTCAAGTACATTCAGGGAAAAAATTATTACATCCAGGGTAAATTTAGGTTGGATTTAGTTAGCGCGTTAGCTAAGCCCAACCTAAATTTGACCACTTCTTCTCATCAAAATAAACTCAAAAAAGAACTATTTTCAGGATACCATAATGAGAACTGATATTATGTGGGGCATAATAATGTGCCATGCGCAAACTGACTGCTTTGAAGCATAGTAATTCAAGTTGTATTTTCTGAATCTCTTGCGGGAAATTCTTGATAAATAGTGGTAACTTGGGAAACTTCAAGGTTTAAGGCAAACAAATAAAATAAGTTCAGAACTCCACACATCTGAAAATCTGAAGAAAGCAGTGCATTCAAAATAAGCAGGTGGTGTGTATTAGTTCCTTTAATAATAAATAAACAAATAAAGACATCAGAGTCCTTTGGACTCTGCTTTATCATTTTTATTTTGACTGTCCAAAGAAGATGACTTATTACCGTGAATAGATTTAATTTGGTATGTAATGATGTTTACAAATGTACAGTAAGTATAACTGGTTACATCAACACTTTTCAATATTATTTAAATGGTAAATTAGATTAAAAACATACAAATTAATTATTTTAAGTAATTCTAAATTGGAAGCATTTGCGTTTACATTTAGAAGTGAGGGGTTTTTGTGTGTATAATCTAAAATAGATATGTAAAATGGGATTCAAAATGAAGTGTCTGTGCAGTTTATGCACTTAAACACTAATACCTAGTTTTTGTATCCAGAGTGACAGATTTTTAAATAATGGCATTAGTGAGGCTGTTATATTTATACTGACATTTTACTAACTTGTACTATCTGCCACTAATGTGAAAATAATTTCAAGCTGATTTAAGCTTGGAAAAGTTTAGAATTCTCCTCTTTCCTTTCCATAGGCCATAAGGATAAAATCCAAAATCCTACGGTATCTCTCTCTAAAAGGCAGTTTTCACAGCACTAATGTGTAACTACCTCAGCTTGTTGCATCACTTAAAAATGCATTAATATACGCACTGATATATGGATTCAGCAGACTTGTAATCTGAAATATGGGTCCTGATGAGTTTTTAATGTAGCTGGGTGAAATGCTTTTTATATAACAAATTAGTATAGAAATTAGCAGGAAAAAGATGAGTTGGTGTTCAAGATTATGCTGCTTATTCCCAGTAGGTCAGGGAAGAGATGTAATCTAACCCTTCTTTATGGCATATTGGAAACGTAGCTTGTATTTTGAATGAGTGCTAAAGGCTTCTTCAATATAAAACTTATCTGTGTATTTGAGATATGATTAATAGCGCTTTAAAAAGTCTTTGGTTTCATTTTTTGATATTTTTTTTAATTTTAAAAGCTAGTTGTGGTTCTGTTTCTCTAGGTGCCGGAGTTCTCTGTTCTACTGAGCCTCTTCTTGACTCTGTCCTGCACAATAGAAGTATTTGAAATATTACAAAGGGAGAAATAAGTGCAACTGATGACTTCTACAGACTCTCTTTAATGTTAAGTGAACTTAAACAGCAGAAAAAGTAGCTCAAGAAAACAAACCCCAATGGGTATATTTTGATTTTTATCTGTATTCTTCTCCTTCGACATCTGTGGCAAGAACTTCCATGCAGTAGTCTTCTAGCCTAGCATATCTGCATGCATATGTGAGGAGAACCTTACAAGTGTCCTTATTGTGACCAGAGAACGTCCCAGGAAGAATTGAGACGTCACATTAATACATGATAGGGAACGAAACCTAGGAAATATGCCAACTCAACCCCTTTTAGTATATATGGAGGGACCAGATGGGATAGCCAGTACTGTTGGTGCACAGATGGAGAATAATGATGCCTCGATGCCGATAAAAGGGACCAACACAATTTCTTACAAAAATGTGCAAGAAAAGTTCTTGATGCAAGCGGAGGGGTGTATGTCTTTGGATTGCATGTTTTGTGATCAGACTTTTAAACATCCTGAAGAACTTGGTAAGCATGTCCTAACTCAACATAGACCAACGCTTTGTGAACCAGCAGTTCTGCGTGTCGAAGCAGAATATCTTAGTCCTCTTGATAAATGTCAAGTTAGAACAGACTTGCCATCACCAGAAAATAATGAAAAGGACAATGAAGAATTTAGCTGTGAAGTTTGTGGGCAAACGTTTGATGAAGCTTTTGATGTTGAGACTCACATGAAAAAGCATAAGGACTCTTTCACATATTGGTGTAATGTATGTGGAAGAAGATTTAAAGAGCCTTGGTTCCTCAAAAATCACATGAGAACGCATACTGGTAAACCTGGTTCAAGAAATAAGCTTCAACAAGGTTCTGAAAGCCCAGTAACAATTAATGAGGTGGTACAGGAGCATGTAACTGAAAATGTAACATCACCTTACAAAATCTGCATGGTTTGTGGTTTCCTATTTCTCAATAAAGAGAACTTAATTGAGCACAGTAAAGTGCACACCAAAGAGTCAGCATCCAATGGTGATAGCCCACAAGTCACTGATGGAGCCAATAAAGGAGGAGTGACTCAGAGAGAAGAATTTCTGCAATTTTTGAACTTAAGACCAAATGTGACTCCAGAAAAGAGAAAATCAGAAAAACCTGTGAAATGGATAGCTGAACTGGATCCATTCAATACATATCAAGCATGGCAGCTCGCAACCAAAGGTAAAGTTGCTATTGGCCATGGACAGATTAAAGAACCAGGGCAAGAAGGGAGTACAGACAATGATGATTCATCATCTGATAAAGAAGAACTTGGTGAAATTTGGAATACAAATAAAGGTAGCCAGGTTAGTCAGACTGAAAATGCTGGGAAGTCAAAGGTAAATAAAAGTAGCAGTTGTCCAGGAAATGGTACCCTGTCCCAAGACAAACTGAAACATCCCAGTGGTGAAGTGCCTTCTATGGAGATGGATCCTAAATTGTCACAAAACAAAGAGAAACCAACACACTGCTCAGAGTGTGGCAAAGCCTTTAGAACATACCACCAGCTAGTTCTTCATTCAAGAGTACATAAGAGAGATAGGAGGACTGATGTAGAGACTTCAGCCACTTCTAGAACATGCTGTGCAGACTTAATTGTAACCCTACATGAAAATGGAGTAGTAGACCGAACAGAGGGAGGCTCTGAAGATGGATCTGAAGATGGACTACCAGACACACTGCATTTGGGTAAGAAGTATATATGAACATTTTAGATTAAAATAGCATAGATATCTGTAATTTTTTTTTCTTGTACGAAGCAAGGAAATGTTAAATTATCTGCCTAATTTGTCCATCATAAACAATGACCAGAGACGACAAAATGTTAGGGGGCTGGTATCTCCACTTTGAGATCATCTCATTAATGTACGTAAAATATTTAATGTCCTTGTGTTTATGCTATGGGTTTAGGAAATTATGGTGGTAAATTAATTTACCAAACTAAATAGCAAGTGCAGGCAATGGTTAGGGGGGGAAAATCACTAAAATAACTGGTTAAAAAAGTAGACTTTTAAGTAGTTTATTGCCACAGAAAAAGAATTAGTTGTCACTGCATCATTAAAATGAAATGCAATGTAATGTACAAGCTTAAGTTAGCGCCCCCCACCCCCCCCAAAGAACTATATATGAAGAGAACTAAAATTGTATAATCATTCTTCTTATCCCCATTTCCAAGAATCCTTAATAGTATTGGGTACCATTCCTGAGAAACTGCTTGGCAACTGTAGTCCAAATATAGTGACTTTCTTTTGAAAAATAATCATAGAAATATAGGGCTAGAAGGGACCTCGAGGCCATCTAGACCATCCCTGAGAAGTCTGTCCAGTTTTTAAGAACATGCAATGATGGGATTCCACAACCTCCCTTTGTAACTTATTCCAGTGTTTATCTATCCCTATAGTTAGAATGTCTTTTTCAATATCAAACCTAAATCAGCCTATTTTACAGATTAAGCCAATTACTTGTTTTACTTTCAGTGGACATGGAGAACAGTTGATTGCTATCCTGTTTATAACTGCCATTAACATATTTGAAAACAATTATCAGGACCCCCTGTTCCCAGTCGTCTTGTCTCAAGACTAAAACTACCCACTCTTTTAACTGTTAATCATAGGTCAGGTTTTCTAAACTTCTCATTTTTGTTGCTCTCATCTAGATTGTCTCTCCAATTTCTTCACAACCTTCTTAAAGTGTGATGCCCAGAACCGGATGCAGTATTTTAGCTGAGGCCTCACCTCTACTGAATTGAGAGGGACAATTACCTCCTGTGTCTTACTTACAACACTCCTGTTAATACACCCCAAAATATTAGCCTTTTTTGCAACTACATCACATAGTTGGCTTAGAGTCAATTTGTGATGCTCTGTAATTCCCAAATTATTTTCAGGAGTACTACTACTACTACTAGATGGTTAAACCCTATTTTATAGTTGTGCATTTGATTTTTCCTTTCTAAGTGTAGCACTTTGTGCTTGTATTTGCTGAATTTCATCTTGTTGATTTCAGACCACTTTTCCAATTTGTCAAAGCTGTTCTGAATTCTAATCCAGTCCCCCAAAGTGCTTGCAACCTCTCCCACCCTGGTGTCATTCTCAAATTTATTAAGTATACTTTCCACTCCTTTATCCATGTCATTAAAGAAAATATTGAATAGTGCTAGGCCCAAGACAGACCCCTATGGGACCCTACTTGATATATTTCCCCTGTTTGACAGTGAACCATTGACAACTACTCTTTGAGTATGGCCTTTCGCCCACCTTATAGTAACTTCATCTAGACCACATTTCTCTTGTTTATGAGAATGTCACGCTGGACTACCAAAAGCCTCGCTAAACTCAAGATATATCACATCTACAACTTCCTTAATCTACTAGGCCGGTAACCCTATCAAAGAAGGAAACTAGATTGGCTTGGCATGATTTATTCTTGATAAATCCATATTGGCCATTCCTTATAACTCTGTTATCCCTTAGGTGCTTACAAATTGATTGTTTAATCATTTGTTCCAGTATCTTTTCAAGTATTGAAGATAGGCTTGGCTGATCTACAATTCCCAAGTTCTCTTTGTTACCCATTTTAAAGATGAGTACTGTGTTTGCCCTTCTTTAGTCTTATGGGACGTCACCTGTGCTCCATGAGTTCTGAAAGATGATCGCTTATGGTTCCAGTATTCCTTCAGGTAGTTCCTGACGTACTCTAGGGTGCGTTCAGTTAGGCCCTGTCAACTTGAGTGCATCTAAATTAGTATTCTTTAACCTGTTTTCCTATTTTAGTTTGTTCCTTCCCCCTTGTTAATGTTAATTGTGTTAAGTGTCTGATCACAATTTACCCTTTTAGTGAAGACTGAAGCAAAATAGGAACACTTCAGCCATCTGTGTCATCTGTTATTCCCTCTCCTTCCCTGCTAAGTATAGGACCTACACTTTCCTTCGTCGTTCTCTTGTTAGGTGTGTGTGTGTGTGTGTGTGTGTGTGTCATTTCTTATTGCTTGTTGTGTCCCTTGCTACGTGTAACTTATGTTGTGCTTTAATCTTTCAGATTTTGTCCCTACATCCTTGTACTATTCTTTTGTACACATCCTTAACAATGTGCCCATGTTTCCACTTTTTGTGGGATTCCTTTTTATTTTTTTCTCCTCCCCATGTTGTTAAAAAGCTCTTAATGGAGTCCTGTTGGCCTCTTTCCTCCATGTGGGAATAGTTTGCTTGTGTGTGTCTGTCTCTTTGAGAGCTGGCAGTTTCTCCTGAATTTCTTTTCCCCTTAGATTTTCTTCCCATGGGACCTTAACGACCAGTTCTCTGGGCTTGTTAGTTTTGTTTTTAAGTTCGTTGTCCTTATTTTGGTGCTCTCACTCCTTCCTTTCCTTAGAATCAATAATTTCATGATCACTTTCACTCAAATTGCCTTCCACCTTCAGCTTTACAACCAATTCTTCCTTGTTAGTCAGAATTAAATCTACTTAATTACTACTTCCACCTTTTTGAAACAAAAAATTGTCCAAGAATGTCCTGGGCCTTTTGTATTTTGACATATTACTTTTCCAAAAGATATCTGGGCAATTTATCCTCCCTTACTATCAGGTCTAGTGTTTTTTGGATATTTCTGTTGATTGCTCTAGAAATGTCTCCTATACCACCTCCTCCTCCTGATTTATTGGTCTATACTAGACTCTGACCATGACATATCCCCTCTTTTTGTGTTTTCTTTTTGTTTGTTCTCCTTTTATCTTCCTCAGACTTTCAAATGGTCTGCCTCTAATCTCCTTCTGGACCGCTGAACAAGTGTGTATTTCTGATGTCTAATGTAACACCTTCTTCCTTTTTCCCCTGCCCGTCCTTTCTGAACAACCTATACCCCTCTGTCAATATTCCAGCCATGAGATTTATCTCGCCCAGTCTCTGTGATGCCAGTTAAGTAGTAATTTAGCTTATGGACTAATATTTCCAGTTTTTCTTCCCTATATGGCCTTGCATAATCTGGAGAAATATTGTAAAATGAAAGTTATTCTTCATTTTCTGCCTTTATTGTGGCGGCAGGCAGAACAGTCTAGTGTTTAGTATCTGCAGATATTAGAACTTTAAAAACCTGAAGAATTAACTCTAAACAATTTGGTTGATGCTCTTGTATGTAGCATATTCCCTTGAATGATGTGAAGTTAGAAAAACTCAATGTTAGGGACTAACAGCCTTAAATTACCAGAAAGAGGAAAGGTAGGCAAGTTATTCGCATGTGATTGACTAAGAGACCGGTATGCTTAAATACATTACTTGGAAGAAAAGTGCTAACACAGTTTCCTTGGCCAGAGCAGTCAGGATCAAACCGTGTGTTACTGCTGAGATTCAAAGTTCTAATCCTGTGTAGGACAGGAATATCTGGCCCATTAAAACTTTAACAATTACTTTAGAGTTAACATTTATTGTACTCTCTAGGAGATTAGGGTTTATATTTAAAAAAAAAGTAGCAAAGATGGTATTTTAACTGGTTAGCATTTCTAACTATAGTCTTGCACCTTCTTCTTATATGTGACCTACTTTGTGTCCGCATTTAAAGAAAGGATACTTGCATAACCTCAAGACACAACGTACAGAATGTCCTGGCACACACTATTGCATTTTTTCCAATTTTAGCAATGCACAACCCTTAGTTTGGCGGCTGTGATACTGATTGAATTAAGAAATGCTAAATGTACTTCTTGTTGTTGATCCTTCTCAGTTGCTGTTATCTCCCTGCATTAAAACAGTTATCATGAGATGCTGAGTCATAGTTCCAATGCATATATCAGTTTGTATGGGTGTGTTTAAAACTGCTATCACAATTTTCTACTAAATGTAAATTTAAAAAACAAAATACTTTTCCAGCACAAGTTTGAGCCATTTTAAGCCACTTCAGTATTTGAGAAACAATAAGTGATTAACCAAATAAAAGGATGAATTTACTGAAAAAAAAATACATTTAAAACAAAATAATTTCTAGTACATTTTCACCTGAGTAATGACAGTAGGTGTCCTCAATAGTATTCTCAGTGCAGCCTGCTTTAAAAAAAAAAGTTGTTGACTTTGACTTTTATAGTATTCATAAATAAAACTTTCTCCTCTTCCTTCTTAGACATTATGCTGCACTTGCTACCCTCTAGTGGTAACTATTTGTGCTTACACTTACAAAAAGAGACCAAGTTTCTCTAACTGTGAACTTGAAAAAAATGTTAAATTCTGTGAAACACTAGTCATGTCACTTCCTTACCCCAGTATGTTTGCCACATCTCAACTTAAATATTGATAGTTCCCAGGGACAAAAATCAAGACCATTTTACCAAGACCTGTTGATACTAAAATGGTCTCTCACAGGCACGATATTCCATTGATTAGTGCAAACTAATTTCTGCAGCAGTGTACTATAAGTCTGTATCTTATCTTTTCTAGCTTAAATTCCTATCTTAAAGAAAACATTTGGTCTGTTTGTGGCCCATAAAGGATTTATAAGATATGGCATACACAATGGAGAGAGGCATAAGTGATTAAAGTTTAATTAAATGTATTTGTTCAACTCTTAGGGCCTAGCTTTGCATTTTGTTTCAATCCCAATGGATCTTTCATCCGTCACAAACCACAATACTACCTGACGCACAACTGGAAGTCTCTTAACTCTCTTGACAGTCAGATAGCAGTAGATCAGAGGGGTTTTTGTAGATCTATATTTGGAGTTAGCATCCCCTAATTAAATGGGGGGAATGTGATTTCTAGCAGACACTTGTGCTTTTTGAGGTTGAAACACATGGAGCCCAAATCTGTATTTACTCGTAATATAGGTTTGCATGTTTTGTTTTTTTCTTGCAAAGATAAAAATGAAGATGGCTTGGAAAGAGCAAGAGTTAAAAACCTTGGGGCCTCCAGAGAATGCAGCTATTGTGGGAAATATTTCCGCTCAAATTATTACCTCAATATTCATCTCAGAACTCATACAGGTAAAGGATTTTAAATTCTTCAGGAGAAGGTCTGCTTAATCCAGATCAGAGGGAACTTTAGATTCCTGTTAAGAACAAATTAAAACTATAAAATGGCTGAAATTAAGATCTAAAATCTCCAATGTTGCAATTGAACAGTATATGAAACATAGCTTTAAACAGCTATGCATATTTATTTTAATTTCCTAAACTCAAATCTACTGTAAACTAGACAAATATTACACTAGACTCTTGTTGTGTCTGCTACACTTTGATTTGTGACATATATCCTGCTTTTCACTCATTTTAATTATCACACTGCTTTTAAAAATCCAGAATACAACTCCCAAGTATGAGTGTGTGCCACTGCTGCAGTGTCAAGAGACTGGTGTCTCTGTTTTCAGTAAAGCTTCTTTTCCATACCCCACACGTACTCCCCCCTCCAAAGAAACTGTCCGAGTCAGTGTATTTTAATGAACGTAAATATCCCTATTTTTCTTCTCAAAGGACTGTTTATACATTTGGCTAATATTATTCCCATTTGTTGACCAGCCCTTGTTGTCGTCGTCGTCGTTGTCGTCTTTGGCCGTGCCTACACGTGGCTGCAATTGATCAACTGGGGTCCCTTTTTATTATCCTTATTTCTTTTATCTGTACTCAACAGATTGCTAACTACCATCCTTACACCTTCTGAACATGTAGGAAAAACTCTTATCCTAGCCAGAAGATGTCACTGTAGCTAAACCTTCCCCCCCACACACACACACCACCCCCCCCCCACCCACACACAAAAACCACTAGGTATAGTTCTTAGGGGTCATGGATCAATTTGGGGTCTGCATAAGTGTGTATGTTTTGAGCAGGGGGAGGAGAAAAGAACACCTATATCATCTTAGTCTTGTGAATTCTAAAACCCACAGAATCATTTAATTATGTTGAAGATTTTGAATCAATATGCATCAAATTTATTCTCTGATGAAACTGTTTCAGGTGAAAAACCATACAAATGTGAATTTTGTGAGTATGCAGCAGCCCAGAAAACTTCATTGAGGTATCACTTAGAGAGGCATCACAAGGAGAAGCAGGCCGATGTTGCAACAGATGTGAAAAGTGACAGCAAAGTTTTGTTACAAAGTCAGGAGATGAACCTCCTGTCAGCCACTGATGGTGCTCAAGAAACCAAAAACTTAAAAAGGTTTATTGACGGTGCCAAAGATGCAAAGGGCTGCCCACCTGTAAAGCAACAAAAAGAGATATTTTCTTCCTTTCAGAGCATATTGAGTGGTCCAGTCATCTTGACCATGAAAAATGATACTCAGGACTCAAAGAAGGGTGCAGTTGGTAATAGCTCAAATCAAATGAATGAGAATTCAGACGCTTCTTACCTGGAAAAGCTAAAAGCAGAGGAAGAATTAATGGAATCGCAGGCAAATGATTCCAATGATAAAAAAGAGAGAGATGCTTTAGTGACAGTGGAAGGAGATGATATCCAGTTGATTCGTGCCTTAAAGGACAAAAATAACATGGAAGAAATGAGAGAGAGCGCCGAAAAATGCGCAAACAAGCATATAGTGGGCTCTCAAGAAAAGCCGTTAAATTTATCTACTGGGACAGTGCAAGAATGTTCAGTGATCTCAACTGCTAGAGGCTTGTTAGCAACCAGCACCTGCCCGTTTTGTACTTATAGAACATTTTATCCAGAAGTCCTAATGATACACCAGAGGTTGATGCATAAATACAATCCTGACACTGTTAACAAAAATGGTTACAGAAACAAAGCTTTGGCTAAAGCCAGGCGTACTGGATGCCCACCAGCTCTTCTTGGTAAAGATGTGCTTCCCCTGACTCTTAACCCTAATAAAAGCAAGGCTTCCCTATCTATGCAACCAAAACAGTTGCATACAGAGAAGACTAAACAGTGTCCCCTTCTACAGAGCAAAGTCCCTGTTTTTCCAATGGTAGATTCCAGCAGTTCAACACCAAGTAACTTGAAGTCTTACAAACCACAAAGCATTGGAGCTCAGGCGAGTAGCTGTCGGCAACCACAGCAAGATTTGCACTCAAATCCTAGTATTTCTTCAGTAATGGATAGAGTAAAAAAAGGTGAAGCTAAAGCAAAAACTCTAAATATATCAGCTTCTCAACCTGGTGTAGTTAGTAGCAGTATCAATAGCTCCTATGATTCTCCCCTTAGTGAATCTGCCTGGTTCAGTAATCGAGGAAGAGAATATCTCTGCAATAGATCTGCGGGTCACATAAACTTAGAATTTGGTGAACCGTCTTCTAAAAGAGTGAAACCTAATCTGTTAGCTCTTGAACACATTGACTCTGCAAGGGTTAATTACAGAAGATATGACATGAGCAGATCTCGTGTTGCAAACAGATATGCAAATCTGTTACCTCAGGAATGTTCACATGCCAAACCTGCATCCTCTGTTTTGCCAACCAAACAAGGGCTTCTGAATTCAGATGAAGTTGATTCTCGAAATGTACTGACTATTCTGAAAACCTATGAGCCGTATAGCCCTGGACCACTTTATGGTTCTTTTGGACCTAGCAATGGCCAAGCAACCAGCTCTCCAATAGAAGGTACTGTATTTTCTCTGTATATACTCAACTATAACTGTGCTAAAACTTAAATTTTTGCTCTAATTTTAAGGTAAATGATTCAAAATCAGATATTTAAATGCACAAAACTATTTCCGCACCAGTAGATGCTAGTGATGCAAATGATGATTTGTCAGCATTTTATTTTCTTATTCAATGGCTTATGATAAATTTGAGGTCACAAAGTATTCAGATTTTAAATTCAATCATTGTAACTTGTTGCTTCATATACACAGTAACAAACATCAGTTGCAGAAAGTAGAAGTTTTCTAAAAGGTTAATTTTTAAGTGTTCCTAGGACTGCTATTCTGATTCTTTGATGTCAAATATGTACTACTGTTAGTACTCCCATTGGGTCAGTTAATGTTTCTAAAGTATATTAAAGAATGATAATGCTAGATGTTAAACATCTTGGAAAGAAACCTTGGACCCCATGGAATGTTAATAGAATTTCTTCCAAAGAGAGCATTTTTAAAAAAAGCCCAACCTCCAAAATATATTAAATCCTGTAAAACTTATTTCAGGTCTGCCTTAAACCTATATATTAAACAGCTGAACTAAAAACTTCAGTGGGTTACATTAATGTGTAATTAATTTTAATAGAAGCTGAACACTTCATTAGAAATGTGTTGTCTGTTTAATATTCAAATTGAAAAGTCCCATCACTAATCAATAGTATTAACATTTTACTGTAGGAACTTCATTTGGTGTATATCACTCTAGTCTTAGCCAAGACTTTGAAAACCAGAAGCCTAAAGCTAAATGCATGAATCCATTTTTAAGCACCTGCCTAATTTTAGAAAATGTTGACCATCTGAGAGCTCCCACTGAGGTCAACGTGGACTTGAGACTAAATTTAGTTATGGGGGAAAACTTGGGATCTTGCTATTCCTATCTTCGCCTATTTGTACTCTTGTACTGCAGTCTAACACAGCCACTAAAGTTGAAATGCTGTACTATGTAGAACTCAATGGCTTTCTAGTTATAGACTAACATATGATTTGTAAGATGTCTTTGCAGCTTATCTATATCAATTGCATTTTACTAAAACTGTCTTAAAATGTTAGACATCTAAAGAATTTCTTAACTTTAATTATGCCTCATAACCCATTGAGTTCCATTGAGGCATGCATGCTAAGTACTTTTCAAACTTTGTCAGCAACTTGTCCTCTGTGAAAATAAGGCAATATATTTATAATATATTGTGGTGGGTAATCAATAGTGCTAAACCAGTTTGGGTCATGGAAGATTTGTTGATGGCAACATATTAAGCCTGCATTTGGAAGTTCAAAGGTATAGTTAGTATTGGTGTTTTGGGTGGAGATGTGTAAACCTAGTCTCCACTAGTATGAATATTGGAGGAAGAGTGACAGCTTTATTTCTCATCTGATGAATGAGGTGGAATGAAATATCTGATTCATTTCTGAGTGTTTGAAATTATATTTGTGGTTCCTAGTTACATGGGCAATGTCCTCAGCAATGTGTAGGCCACAGCAGAACAGCTAAGGTGTTGGATATGTCTATACTACATCGATGGAAGTGGATTAGCTACGTTGATGGAAAAATCCCATCTCTGAGAGGCTGTAGCCATGTTGAAAAAGGATTCTTCAATTAAATTGACCTAACTATGGTGCTCAGGGAATGAGATTTTTCATAGCCCTGAGCAACTTAGCTAGGTTGATCTAATTTTTAAGCATAGCCCAGGACTTAAATGTATTAACATTGGGCTGGTAGGGTATGTGACTTGCTTTGGAGACATATGAAATAGATGGTGAGTTGGGTATGGGTTGTCTCTGGATTGGGAGGGTGTATGTTTTCATTCTTGTATAAATAACAATGAAGGGAGTAAAAGGGGAGAAATTATCTGATGGATTGGCTTTTTGAAACGATAAATGTATCAAAATATCTTAAGTAACTTGGCTCTTGGCAGAAGTTACTGATAAAATCTTATTGTTAGCTGAGTACTGAAGTTTTTTAATGTGGGAGTTTGCTTTTAGAAAGTATTTAAGTCTTCATTTGATGTGGACATTATCTGTCTGTAAACATTACTTTGCTACCATTGTGCATTTTTGGTGAAACACAAGACAGCACTGGCTGCAGTGATAGAGCCTGTAACTTCTTTGACCATCTGACAGCTAGACACAGAAACAGCCATCCACTAATCAAATTTATAAACTTTGAAACGGTCTCGGCCTTTCATCTTTTGTTAAACTGCTTATTGTGAGTAATGTGCAGTTTACATGTTCAGAAGAAACTGATGGTCTGTCCTTCAGCTCAAAGGAGGGCCTTCTGTAGATCTTGAAGCCATTATTGGCCATGCAAAAGAAGGTCCTGCATGCAATAATCCCAGAATTTCAAGAAATGCTCTAGGCATTAATGAGTAGAACCCTATTGATTTTTAGTGAAAACCAGGAGGAGGAAATTGAGGGGGGAAACACCTCGAGCCCCTTGCTTGCATTTACTTAATGTGCGCGCGCGCGATAGCACACTCGCACGCGCACACGCCTACTAACCCCCGGGTTGTTAGTTTAATCCTTTATGCAGC